AAAACATGCAGGACTGTGGCCCTCGAGGACCAGGACTGGACACCCCTGATCTAAAGCATGCAGGACTGTGGCCCTCGAGGACCAGGATTGGACACCCTGCTTTAGCATGTGCTGGAAAAGTAGCAGCAAACAAGACATCCAGCACATACGATTACTTTCTACTTGTTGTAACAGCTTTTAGTGAAAAGAACCAACTTTTTGGCCTGACACGTCTTGATCTCTTCTCCCAGTTGAGAAGGTCAAACACCACTTCCTGTTTGTCAAAGTCACATGTCTCCACGGACACTTTTCAAGTCAACAGGTCCCGCTGTTTGAGGCAAAAGTTTTCCACCGCAGATTGGTAACCACAGAAACGCCACCAGTTTCCCAAGATGCGTCCTCTTTCTGCCTCCGTCATCCCTCTTGCGTTGGATTTAGCTCCTCTGTCATTATGTACCTCAGCTAAAATCCAGCCAAACTTCAAGCTGAACTGACTCGCAGCCATCCTCGTAATTGTCCACACGCAGGACAATCCGCCGCCGCATTTAGCTGTTGAAAGAAAGTCAAAAAGTCAGCGTGACACATAATCAAACTGCCGTGCGGGGCTGGATAATGCCAGTGATTAGGTCTGCCGGCAAGTTGTTCTGGGTAGAGATCACTAATGCGGATAGAAAAATGGCCTTTCCAGGTGGTTAATTTGTGTGTTTACCTTTGGGAAAGACTCATTCGCATCCGCGTAAAAGTCTCCTTTTGTTAAAAGCTGCAGGGAGGCTGTGCCAGTCACCTTAATATATGCCGCTCACGTGCTGCTTATTGAGACATGCGGCAAGTTGAAATCAACCAAAATTAGCGTGTTTTTTTTTTTTTCCCATTTAGGTTGATCAGACAAACGGTGTCATTCGCATGAGAGGAATTTGCATAGTAAAGTTCTAACTATCATCTCACAAAGGAGTGATTCTCTGTGTGATTGCTTTGCTGTGGTCTCGTTATTGATTGCGTTCCTCATTCAGACTGCGCTGCTGTTAGCCTTTGGTCTCCAATCCACTCACACACGCTGTACTTTGGGATGTTTTTGTTCTTTTTTATCCCCTGCTCGTGTCTATATTTATGTGCTTTGTTCTCCTGGAAGCACTTTGGGGTGAAACGGCGTCCAACATGAATTTCACTGCAAAAAAAATGTGACTTTTTTTTTTTTTCAGTATAGAATCTGACCAGCTGGTTCAGGATTTAGGGTGCATGAGGCTAAACAAGGTTCCTAACAAGGTTAATGCTCCTCTCTGCTACAAAATGCAGGCTTTCTACCACAAAGCTGGACTAATAGTCCTCCTGCAAAGCGAGTGCAGCTTCACCAACCTGAAATTTTTATTTTATTTTTTCTTTATTTTATTCCATTGCAGCAGGAGCGCAGACTCCCAGAAACAACATTAATATATTTGGGTGGTGACAAAGCAACAGGTTTGAATGTAAACCAAAACCCTGCTGTGTGAGCGATGTACATGTACCATGGGGCCCTTAAGCAAGGCACTAAAGGTTGTAGTTGCCGGTGGCTGCAAAACACATGCTCGCTCAGTCAATTATGATTTAAATTTTTCATGTAGGTGTATGCATGGAGGTTGGGAGGGACGAGTTTTCTTCTATAAGACTCTTATATGTTTTACTATTTGTAAATGATATAATGTTTTTTAAATGCCATGTTGTTTTTAAAATACTGTAAAGCACTTTGTGTTGCTGTACTGTATGAAAAGTGCTATATAAATAAAATTTGATTTGATTTGATTTGATTTGATTTGCATGCAAACCACCAGAAATCACTTTGAAAGCACGCTGATGCATAAATCTGTACACTAAAAAAATAATGTTTGGACTCAGTAAATAAATGAATGCAGCGGTGTGCAGCGATCTTTTTGAGTTATGAACATTTCTAATGAAAATATGTTCAGCCAACAAGTTTTTCTCTACAATCAAAGTGCTTGTTAATTACCAGTCTGAACCATCTGAGACTGTCCAGGCTTGTTAGGAAAGCGGCGGGGACTCAAGATCAAGAAAAAGTAAATACAAATTTCAAGTAGTTTTCACAAAGTTACCTCAATTTGAATTCAATTTTAATCAGCTAATGCAGAAAAAGCCAAATGAAGGCACTAAACGTGGCTGATGAAATCACAAACTCATCAAAAGTAATGTGTAAACTAAAGGGGTTTATTTAAATCTATAAATTCAATTTAGTTTTTTTTTTTTAAATTAAGGGTTTTGCGGAAGTAAACACTGATGGTGGCAGCGGTGCCACCAATGGTGGAAACAGAACTGTGACTGGTATCCTAAACTAGCATCAGCAGCCAAGTTCTGCCTGTGCGTTCCAGCCACTTCCACCCTGTCGGAGCTGAACCGAATATTCACATATTCATCATTAATTGGGCCTCAATATGCAGAGACCAGAAAGAGCTATTGGGACCAGCCCTACTAGTTATTATAACAGCCATGAACAATAAATATTAACAACAAATGAACCTTCCAGCATCAAGCCCTCCTTGTATCTCCACCTCCGTCTTGACAATCTGACATAAAAGAAGGTTTTACATTTAGTGTCGGATTATCGAGTCACGACTGTGTTTGATTTTTTCCTTATATTTGGGTCACTTACATTGAGACTGAAGTTAGTTCCTTGCATGTCAACAGCTGTAAAATATTTCCTGATGAAGAAAGAAAGAGAAATGCATTAGTTTCATCATAAAACTGAATTTCTGTGGAAGCTGCAGTCGGGTTGATGTTCTTCACGTGGACCAACAAAGACTGTACGTTGATTTAAGGGACCATTTACAACAACCTGTACAGCTGCATTACTCCGGTCTAGATTTTTCTTACATGTGACCAGCAGTAAGATAAAGACGGTGTCATTACTCAGTAACCTCTATGACCTGATAAAACCGCCGTGACTGCACACAACAACAAACCTGCTCTGTGACAGTTCAGACGTGTGAACTGAGGCTGAGGTGAGCGACTCGCATAAGTTATTTCAGAGCAAAACTGGATCGATGTGACGAAATGCTACAGCAGTTAAACCTTTTGATTAATGGATATAACGATATAAACCAAATATTGATTTTGTCTGTGTACAGCCGTGTGCGAAATAGCAAACAGCAGACTTATTAATTGCAAACATCGTCCTAAACCCGTGTAGTTTTGAATTCGTTGTGTTTAATTAGCTCCTCTCAGAGTAATTTTTCTGTAATAAAGCCGCCTCGAGCCCCCTTGAGTCATTTCCCTTTTCTCTAATGGCGCCTCTGCCTTCATGAGTCACTATGTCCATGATCAAAAGCAGCACTTTCTCTGCAGAAGTACATTTGAATATTATACATAACATGTTCACCCCATTAGGCACACTCTTCTGAGTGTTTTCAATGGGGACCTGAAAGGATTGTGTTTGGAGTTTTTCCACTTTGGTTTCTATGATGTTCATTATTGATTTCTTTTATTTATTTATTTATTTTTTTTTCCCTGTAATGATCTCGGGGGCAACATATGTGTTCACTCTTCCTTTGAAAGCAGTAAACATTCTCTGCTCGGGCTATTAGACGCCGATGCCGCTCAGCTTCGCGAAAGGGAATCCATCTTATGACTTTCTGCTGCTATAGTAACCGTGATCAAGTTGCTGCTGTAGTTGCTAAGCTATTCTCTAAAACATCTCAGCGGTGAGTTATTGGCTCGCCTTCCTCCGTCTGTGTTGGCTTGTTTGTGACTTTTTCAGATCTATTGACGGCGGCGTTACGGCCCACCTTGATGCAGCATCGAGCGCAAACGGGGGTCACTCGCTCTCCGCTGCAGCTCAGCGGAGATCTGAAAGCGGCCATTTCTCGTGAAAGCGAGAGCGGCTTTCGCTCCCCAGAGCCTCCACGGTGGAGCCTTTCTTCCCCCTTATCGTACATTCCCATCCTCAGACATCCAGCGGTAGCTCAATACAGAGGAACATTTTTATTTCCCCCCCCCCAGCAGCCTGCAAAGCATGTGAGTGAGATAAAGGAGAGAAACAACAGGGTTAATGGTGAGGACCGCTAATGGTTTTTGTATTTTTTTTTAGGGCAGAGGTGGGAGCAAACAACAAAATGCACGTGGGAGTGGTGCAGCCTTTGCCGGTTCCTCACCTGGTGCCATCATGGATAATGCAGCTCCTGTGAGGAGCTGTCAGTAGACTGCGTGTTTAAATTTAGCTGTGCGCACACAATTCATTCAAATAAAACTACTGGTTGTGGATACCGATAGTCACCCAGCACTGTCAGTCTCTGTCTACCGCCACATCCCCTCCTGAAAACACACGACGAGCGAGCGCAGCCATCTTCCTTCTATCGTTGCAAGACAAGAAATAAGGAGACGGAGAGTACGTGGGAGAGGGAAGGCAGTGGGCAATCCATCCTAATTAGCGAGTAGTTTACCTAGCTGTTTGTTATAATCCTCCTCTCTTCCTTCGGCACGCCATAACAGCGCTCCTCACAAAGCACCTGGGAAAGGAGGATAGGATTTAAATATTGTTGTCCTTAAGCAAAGTTGACAGAGGGATATCTGGTCTTTCTCCTTTCTTGTATGCGAGGCACTCTCTGCTGTCACTGCCAGCTAAACCGCCCCAATTAAGTTTGATCTCCCTCTTTATCTGCTTGCTGTTTGTGTTAGGGAGGAAGCAGAAGGAAAAAAAAAGATGACTCCTAATGAACCGCAGAGCGACAGCGACAGCTCCTCGTCCGAGGCGGGCCACGAGACCAGTTTGAGGATGTGGAGCGTACAGTCAAAGTACACGTGGAAACTTGATGTTACGGATATACACCAGCAGAGGAGGAGGTGGAGCATGAGTCAGCACTCCCACATCAAAGGGTGAACAAGTATGATTTGTTCTGTGTAGGAAGTGACAGTCGAGCTCCCGGAGAAGAACAACTGCACGTCTTCGAGATGTGAACGCTCAAAGAAAATAAAGCACTCCGGAGAACTCGTGCGTGTGTTTGTGAATCAGTAGAATATGTGGAAACCCCTCATACAGGGGTAGTGGTGTTATTGATATTGTCATTAGGGCAGGGTGATAAAAGTATTAATCACAATATCAGTGAGAAACCTTTGATAACGATATAACTGACACTTGAGAAAATACTTCAAAACTGCACAACTTTATTGGTGCAAATGAAAAAAAGAACCATTTCTTTTCCATTGAGCAAGCAGCTGGTTTTGATGTGCATTAAAGCCATCCATCCATTCATCATCTATACACTGCTTAGTCCTCACTAGGGTCATGGGGGGCTGGAGTCTATCCCAGCTGACTCAGGGTGAAGGCAGGTTCACCTGGACAGGTCACCAGTCTATCACAGGGCTACACTTAGAGACAGACAACCAAGCACACTCACATTCACACCTACGGACAATTTACAATCACCAATTAACCTCAACATGTTTCTGGACTGTGTGGGAGGAAGCTCCGGAGAGAACCCACGCTGCACAGGGAGAACATACAAACTCCACACAGAAAGATCCCACCGGGACGCGAACCAGCGCCCTACTTGCTGAGAGACAACAGTGCTAACCACTGATCCACCGTGCAGCCCACATTAAAGCTATATTCTATCAAAATCAGTCGTGCATAAATTGTAAATTGCTTGCTGACAATTTGCGTAATCAAAAGGCATTTAAAATGGAAGTGGGCTGACAAATCCTGAGCAGAACAATGGACAGTAGCCACAAAGTAAAGCAGAGTTAGCGGCGGGTGAACATTCGGACCAATGGGGTGGAAGTGGGTGGGACGCACAGGCAGTACTGGGCTGCTAATGCCAGTTAGGATAACAGTCACAGCTTTGTTTCCACCATCGCGTGGCAGCAGCCGCGGGTGGCGGGCGGATATTCGGATCTCAAAATTGCTCTGCAGACACCAGCACAACAACTGAATAATCCGATATTCAGGTCCAGCCCTCCTCCTCGGTCGCCGCCATGCTTCATGTGCATTAGACTGGACGAAAACAGTCAGAATGTATCGCGATATTGCAGTTTCATATCGTCCCCGAACACTACACCAGTGTGATACGGCCCAGCCCTAATTGTCATTCCATGAAAATCTGCTTAGTTCACAAGTTGACAACATCCATTCATCAGATATTTTCTAAAAAAAGCCGACTAAGAAGTACCAATACTGAGCTGAAGACAGCGTTTTGGCGCAACACTTCGCAAAGACACACATCTGCAGTTGTGAACATGCAGCTCCAATCCAATCTGTTGTCACCTATCAGCAACAGTCACAACTGCAGCAGTTGTAGACTCGTAATGTCGCCATTCAACCATAATAGCTTTTGCAGCTTTAACACCTGTGCTGCCTGCAGCCAGAGAGTGTTAACATCTGTTTGAGCTGACTGAATAAGTTACACCTTTAAATATTCAAACTCAAAACTTCCATTTGCGGATCACATACATATCTGTTGTTGAGTACGTCGCGTCAGATTTGTGACTTTGTCTGCCTCTTAGTCTGGACACGACAACAAAAGCTGCATCTCGCTTTGATTATTCTGTATTTTTGTGTCACATTAATGCTCAGTCATGTGTTGTTTACTCAGCTATAGCACCACGTATCAAGTATTTTGTCCTACTCATCCAATGGGGGGATATAATCCAGTAACCTTGACAGTGTCACTATGATGTTGCACGCGGCACCACGTTTTCAACACATTTCTTCTTGAGGAACGGTTGAATCGTTAGTCACAGCATCACAGGCTCGCAATGTGAAAAAGTAGAAGCCGAGGAGGTATGTCTCCCCTCCACGCCGATGATGAAAACTCCTTGTCGGGCTTTGTTACCGAGCCTGTGCAATATGATGTGAAGTGCTCATAATGACAACCATTTGTTTTCATTACTTCTCCCAGCGTCGCCCAGCGCTCCGGCCCAACTTGTCACCGCGCCACAGTACAGAGAAAGGGCAAACAAGGAGAGCGGGGCAGGTGGCAACAGTCGGCTTTCTCCTGTTTAAACACAAGAAAAGAAAGTCATAATACTACGATGAAAACCAAACAGAGAAATGTGTCTAGTTTGCCGCAATTATCTCATCGCACATGTTGCCCTGTAGACAAGCTTTGTACTGTTATACAAGCACTAGCCTGTTGGGTTTGAGTGTTTTTGACCTTCTGGGGTTACCGTAGTTCAGTCATACAGCGTTGTAGTGAGCTGGTGTTTACAAGTTTGTAGTTTAGCGTCATTTCTAAGAGTGACAGAAGTAAACGCCTCTATATGCTGTTAATTAGCCCGTTAATGGGAATTCTCATGATATGATAGCATGAAGCTAGCGGACTTTCTTTGTTCATATGTGCTACACACATTTTTAAAATGCAAGGCTAAGTTCTTGTTTTTGCAGTTTTAACATGCCTTTGTGTGTGAGGTCATAAATAAACTCAAGAAGTCTCAATTCACACAGAACCGTTTACCCGATCTGCCAGACGCTAACGTTTAGGAAGGGCAGAATACACCGTGGCCAGAAATGTCATTTTCTAGTTACCTTTTACTGGTCGTATGTCCAACTAAATGGAGACAGGAAATGTCTCACTAAATAAATCTACACAGGAAAATACTAATGAACCCTCTGAACTCACAGGCAGTTTCCAGATGTTTTTTTTTTTTTGCTATTGTCACATCTTTACTCACTGTAGGTTCATTTTCCACCACAACATAAAGTCCTGCACTTCTTCAAACACTCATGGTAGAAAGACTGCAAAACATAGAGTTGGCCCGTGAGCCGTAAGGATCGGCCGACCGTGACTTTAAACAGGCAAAAGTTATTCCCGGAATCAATTTTGGGGAATTTTGTTGTGACAAAAACTGGGATTATGACGTTATTCTATGACAATAAACAGGCTGTTTTACTATAAGTTATTTAGGAAATGATTTGGGGCTTTTATGACGCAGCAAGAAGGTCGCCGGTTGGCTCCCCAGTGAGGACACCCGGGATCTTTCTGGGTGGAGTCTCCATGTTCTCCCCGTGCAGCGTGGGTTCTCTCTGGGTTGGTTGTCTGTCTCTAAGTGTAGCCCTGTGATAGACTGGTGACCTGTCCAGATGAACCCGAAGTCAGCTGGGATAGACTCCAGCCCCCCACGACCCTAACGAGGAGTAAACGGTGTATAGATGATGGATGGATGTTTTATGATTATAAACAGGATATTCTATAAAGCGGTATAAGTGGGCAGCACTGTATAACAGTCGAAATGCCATTAATCATAAAAAAAAAAGAGAAAAAAAACGGAACCTTGAATTTCTTTGATTATTTATTTCACTAAAATTCCCATAGTTTCCTGTAGGTGTTACTGACACGGGGTGAAAAAAATACCCAAAATACTCTTGATATTTAACTTTCTATATTTTAGAGATGCTTCCACATTTCTGTCCTCTGTGTGAACTCTGCCTACAGTTTAGTCCAGATGAATAGTTTCTGAATTTCTGACACGTGACAGAATCTGGTTAATCTGCAAACAGTTTATTTATTTATTAGACAAATAGAATAAGTTTATTTTAAAAAAATATAATGGTTTTAAGTTTAGATATTTTTTCCATTGGATCACAGATGACCGAGCGTCTGTCTCTGACAAATGCTGTCGTTTTAGCAGTTTCCTTTAAAGGTGCTTTTCAAACCCAGCGGCGGGTTTATGGGGTTGATGNTAGATGATGGATGGATGGATGTTTTATGATTATAAACAGGATATTCTATAAAGGGGTATAAGTGGGCAGCACTCTATAACACAGTCGAAATGCCATTAATAAAAAAAAAGAAAAAAATGAACCTTGAATTTCTTTGATTATTTGTTTCACAAAAATTCCCATAGTTTCCTGTAGGTGTTACTGACACGGGGTGAAAAAACACCCAACATACTATTGATATTTATCTTTCTATATTTTAGAGATGCCTCCACATTTCTCTTCTGTCTCCTCTGTGTGAACTCTGCCTGCAGTTCAGTCCAGATGAATAGTTTCTGAATTTCTGACACGTGACAGAATCTGGTTAATCTGCAAACAGTTTGTTTATTTATTAGAAAGTAGAATACGTTGATTTTAATAAAATATCATGGTTTTAAGTTTAGATATTTTTTCCATTGGATCACAGATGACCGAGCGTCTGTCTCTGACAAATGCTGTCGTTTTAGCAGTTTCCGTTAAAGGTGCTTTTCAAACCCAGCGGCGGGTTTATGGGGTTGATGCACATTTCTATCCACCACCGTTATGCTGGCAGTAGATCCTCTTGCTGCTGAAAAGCATGTAGAAGACATGATGATATGGGTTCATACTTTCAAATAGCTATAAAATTCTAAAATAATTACGTCATTATCAGTTATATTTCTAAAGATATTTCCTTCAGTCTCTTCCTCCAGTGCTCCCATCTTGTTTGACCACAGCCATTAAGGTTCAGGTCAGTCAGTGCAATTTTTATGACATCCAGAGTGGCTCTGCCTCTAAGTGTAGTCTGTTGTCACCTGTCATCCGTGACCTTTAGCAGCAGAGTGGTCCATCCTGCAACCCATCCACTTAACACACACATCCCAATATATGGTACATACATAAAGAGTGTTTGCAAACACACACACACACACACACACACAGAATAGAAACAGGATGAGCCGCATGAAGCAGTAAGAAAGCAGCTGATAGAGGCAATGAGTGCCTAAGTGAGACACAGAGCTGCACACACACATGCACGCACAAGCTAAAATTAGAGAGAGGTAGGAAATTGCAAAGGTTATTTTTTGACTACACGCTGACAGGGTACAGTCGGCCAGGCTATCAGGCTGCAGTGTCTCAGGTGCCGGGAGTCCCAGGGGCGATCATTATTGCACAGATAACCTCGGCAGCCTTCCCCTCCTCTGATGTGACACCAGGTAGGATTATCTCTCCTCAGACTGTAACTGTATAATGGCCTCTGCAGGTTTATCGGAGCAGATTACATCCAGGGGAGTGAAGTTCCCATTTGACAGGCC